TGCGGGGTGCATGCGGGCGGTACCTGGCGGGGCGGGTGCGGCTCCTGGTAGCTGGGCAGGATCTTGAGCACGACGCTGCCGCTGGCGTGGCGCAGGCTGTCCTGCAGCGCCCGCGGGTCGCTGCCCACCTCGCGGCCGTTCACCTCGCGGATCACGTCCCCCACGTGCAGCAGCCCCTGCTGCGCCACCATCCCCCCGTGCAGGATGCGGGCGATCACCAGCTCCCCCCGCTCCACGCGGAACGTCACCCCCTGAGGGGACAGCCCCGCTCAGCCCCCGCCGGGGACACACGCGGGACACCCGCCCCTCGCCCCGCTGTGGCCCCGGCACCCCAAAATGCTCCCAGACACCATAAAAATCCCGCAGTGCCCGCGGCACCCCACAACGCCGCCAGCACCCCCTAACGCTGACAGTGTCCCCATCCCCTTACAACGCCCCAACGCTCTCCAGCACCCCAAAACCTCCCAGCACCCCAAAATGTCCCCCGGGGCACCCCGGCCGGGCTCACCAAGTTCTCCCCGGCTGCCTTGCGGATGCCCACCATGCGCACAGCGTCGGGGGGCACGGGCTGCGACCCCAGCGCGGGCTCCGGGCCGGGGCTGCTCGGGGGAGGCTCGAAGCTCTTGGCAGCCACCGAGTCGTGGGTCTCCAGCAGCGACTGGGACACGCGGGGCGGGCCGGGGGTCACCGCTGTGTGTGCCACGCACGCGGCTGGCACACGCGTGTCACGCCTCGTGGCACGGGACGGAGGGTCCCGCTCGCCCCCCACGCACCTGGAAGTGCGGCTCCCGCAGGATCCGCGCCAGCTCCGCCGCCGCTCCCTGCGCGTCGGCCCGCGCCAGGCGCCCGATGTCCCGCAGGATCTCCTGCACCAGCGCCAGGTTGTCCCCGCGCACCGCCTCCAGCTTCCGCTCCTCCAGCCGCTCGTGGGCCTGGGGACCGCGGGGACAGCCCCGGGCACGGGCGGGTAAGGGCGGAGACCCCCGAGGGCCGGGGGGATGGGGGGGCCCCGGGGGGACCCGGCATCTCCAGCGGCTGAGGGGATCGGGGACCCTCGGGGGGGACAGGCTGTCCCCAGGGACCCCTGGGGCGGATTAGGGACCCCCGGATGCGGGG